TCAGTAAAGTTGCTTGGCGTAACTATAGACCACAAACTGAATTTTGACATTTAATATCCGAACTTTGTAAAAAAGCAGCAACCCAGCCAAATGTGCTCAAAAGACTTAAATCTTTCATTGGCTTTGATGAGAAAAAGGTTATGGTCCAAAGCTTTGTTTTCTCTAACTTTAACTACTGCCCGTTAGTGTGGTTTTTCTTCTAGGCTAGATCTATGGAGAAGATCGAAAAAATACAGGAACGAGCCCTCCGATTCCTTTACGGTGACCATGATTCACCTTATAGAGATATGCTTTGCAAATCACAAAAATGCACAATGCATGTAAATCGGCAAAGGAACCTCTGTATTGAAATTTTCAAAACTGTTAAATCCTGAATTCATGCAAAATATTTTCGAACAAAGAACCTCTGCTCGATCCTCACGTCGTCCACAAGACTTGCAGCACTACAGGCCCAACCAAACAATTTTCGGTACAAACAGACTCAGGTCCCTCGGACCACAAATTTGGATTGGCTTACCACAGGAAATAAAATCTGCAGAAAATCTGATCCAATTCAAAAGATTAATTAAAAACTGGGACGGGGCAGCCTGTACATGCTGCTTATAAGGCTGTTTTTTTACATATTCGTTTGTAGAACTGCTTCGCAAAATTTAGGCATAAACTGGTAATTTACAATTTACAATATAATTTGCATATTCGCTTTTTGTTATTAATTGGCATAAGTAACTTTACATCTGTTTCAAAAACTATCTATAATTAAAAATAACCTAAGAATTTTAAACATGTTTTGGAAACACAAAGCTTCAAGGAGAGAGCATGAAGTTTAGATGAGGACCCCATTTTTTGACCACGCCCATTTTGAACCCATTAAAACGAGAAAGGTTTAATAGTATGATCTTTCTGGCAGGAGAAAGGATGAACACTTTTCTGGACTCTGCTCTATTATTCATTAAAATTACTATCTTTGCACACTGCATTGGAACATTAGTGTTGTCGCACTATCTCAAACAAGGGAAACATATCGTTGCTTCCCATTAATTACGTTATATAAAGGAGTTACAACAAAGCTTGACAATTAGTCGAGAGTGAGAACTTAAGCCCACCACCCCGCCCCCCCCCCTTCCACCCCATTGAATGGTCCGGTGTCAATAATGCAAAGCAGCAATAAACATAGATGTTATACTACTATTACCATTGAAGCCGTGATGGTCTTTGACGCAGGCTAATACATGCGTATTATCGATGGCTCAGGAGAAGCAAATCAACTTGAGATTATCAAGATTTCAGCTATCCCGACCTAAACTTTTATGAATCTAAGAACCAAAATATTTGTCTTCCTTTAGAAGACCATTATTGTTGATATCTACTCCAGATCCGAACCTTTATCTACTTACAATGACTCCAGATAAATAATTTTTTCGTAACTCAGTTATCAGGGCCTAATCGTCAATAATGCTAGGATGTAAAAAGTCAAACATCCAGTCGACCAGCATTTAAAAGATCATTTGAGTTCCTCCAATCTATCAGTCTGGCAAGCCAATGAATAGCATTGCAGACTGGGGTTTTCAATGCAGAAAAACTGATGGCTAATGTTTGTTTGCACCCGAAATTAAGAATGGCTACAGGTATGAGCCCTGCGGCACTCCCATTTCAACTACTGAAAATGCAGCAATGCTTTCGAATACGATGAAAGGAATGAAACCAACAATGTTTAACGTAATTTATGCCACATTATATTCTTAGAAGATCTTGTGATTTTCCTTCAAGTCAGTAACTGATAATTGGTCCTAAAATACCTTCCTGCTGTTAAAACCTGAAAATTCTATGCCCCTCACTTACCATCCGAGCATCCGAAGATAGTTTTAGGACACAGGGAAGCTGTGCTTATCGAGCAGTGTACTAGCTCACTCTGGGTGAAAGTTTGGTCATGTCGGATGCTCAAACCATCGATCTTTGGATCTGCAGAAAGCGCTTCTAGCCACCGAGCTATCTTCACACCTTCACTAAGGCCTGAGGTTGCTGGAAATAGTGGGGGGGGGGGGGGCATTTTTCCCTCTCAAGCTCGTTATTTATTGTTGTCCGCCATTTTTTCAAGTCCGTCATTTCCCGAAAGGCTTAAAGGCTTACTAATTAAGAAATTAGCAGCTAACTTACGTTGTCTATACTACTTAATACCCAAAATGCCAGCATATCAATATCAGCTGCATACAGGTAATTTAAGTTTCAAAATATCGAATAAAAAAAAGATTTGAAAAATTTGTAAGTGTATTGCTTTACAAGATGAACCTGGCAAGCTCAAATTTTATGACTCAGAGCAATTTCATTGTTTGCTGCAAATAAGATTCAATTATTAAAATTTGAGACCAAAAGATTTGAATCTACTTGCTTTCGTTTTCGATGCTTTCCAGTGATTTGAATAAATTTTTTCAAATTCAATGGAAGTAGGGTCTGCTCCATTTTGATTAGTGAATCACATTCCAGATAAAGTATTTGGGGGCATTGTCAAGATGGATGTGGATTTAAATCCTTTTGCATTTTAACGGTTTATACCGAGTTTCACATTAATGATTCGATTATCGACGAAGTTGTAGAGATAAAGCTCTCTGCGAGCCTGTCTAATACTGTCTAATTAATTGTGTTTTGTTTCATTTCTATAAGCAAAAACGTAAAATTGGACTTTTTAAAGTGGAGCTTTTTACGCGGGTAGGCTTTGCTATACTGGCATAAATTGTTTTAGACTCTAAGTTATTTGCATAGATATATTGTCTAAATAGGTTTTTCATGAACAAAAGTAATTCAAGACAGTGGCATCCAATCTCCTACCTTATATTGATGCATGATAATCAGGTATGGCGAGGTGCCTTTCAGCTTTTTGAGTTGTCCTTGTTATTGAATGTCAAATCACAGAACATATAAGTTGATAATGATAGACCTGTGTCTTGTCTGATGAAAATAACCAACAGTAATACCTAGGTGGGTGTCTAGCAGCCAGTGACGTAGCGTGACCTTTCTCGCTGGGGGAGGAGGGGAAGATGCAAAACCATATTTTACCGACAGAAATTCTTTCACTACAATTGGCATACAATTATTTTGTTAAAAACGTCAATCTACAGACGAGTTCTCTGAAGGTTGGGAAGGTTCAGACGTCTTCACCACACCTCCACTCCCTCCCTCCCCATGCTACGCCCCTCCTATCAGCTAACTTATATTCATAGACAAAATTCCTGCCCTTAATTCCTGTCTTTCGATGGAGACTTAAGTCACTATGTGAAAAAATTACTGGGCACTGCGAAACGAGTGGCATCTGTTTTGTAATCCATGTGGCACGTGTTCCAAAGAGTTTCTAGAAAGGCCGTTACACGAGGGGCAGTCCCGAAGCAGATTTGGTGGTTATGTTTGTTACATAAGTACCTTTTTCGGTACAAAAACGTCCACCTCAAATACCATAGATGTTTAAATAACTGAATCAAATTCCTCCATCTCATTGCGCCGCGATTCACATTTCTGTGGTTTTCAGTCAATTTCTACCTAGTCATTTCTTTTGTGGTTAAAGGAAAGCTTCGGGCAAGAATGTGAAATGTAAAAGATAGTTGCCATTGTTGCCAAAAAGGTTCTGCAGCGAGGCATCTCTCGTTGCAAGCACCATTCCAAACCTTCATGTTTCAGCAGTGCCGTCGGAACGAAATTCATATTGGGGGCTGCCCATTGTATTCCTTCTCATTCAGTACACAGTTATAAAGGAAACATACTACAGTTTGACAATTATTGGAGGGGCTCCAGCCCCCAGACCCCCGGTTCCGACGGACCTGTTCAGAAAGTTCAAGAAGATTGACTCAACATTATTTCAGGAAATCATTTTTAATCCGGTTTAGAATGAGTGAGAAGTTGCCTCTCTAAGATTGTTTGTGGCAAGCGTTAAGAAAAAGGCAACAAAAAGGCTTGTGTCATTGTATCCCTGTCGATTGTCCACGGGGAAGTGTATAGTCTGTGCTGGCCTGGCGTACCACTTTGTGGCCACACTTTTTACAGACAATTTTTCTTAAAATCTCCATTGCCCAGCTAGATCTACATACAGTATCTGGACGAAAGAGCTAAGGGGATCGAGCCCCTTCCATAAATGTTTAAAGATGCATCAATTTTCAATAGGTAGGTTTGAGAACCTCTATGTTCTATATTGGTGAAAATCAAATCCTCTCCCCCAACATTTCGAAACCTACCCTGGCCCTAGTCTGGACGCTTTATTGAAATTTTAACAGAGAAAGCTTTGCGAGAACAAGTGTGTTGACATTATCAAAGGGCATAATCGATATTAAAACTATGGGACTAGGCGTAATTTACTTGTGGGTATAAAAAGAGTATATCATTTTATATCTAGCACTTATCAACTACTTATAACCAAGCAATAATTTATTACAGCAAATTTGACTCAATCTGTGACTTTAGTTTGTTAAAATGTAAGCTGATTTGCTAACCATTGATCTTTGCTAGTTGTTCTGCTAATCAGTGCTCGTTAATGTTTACTTCTCAGTTTGAAATTCTTTAGAAACTAAAAAAAATCATTGCTTTAGATATTTTGATGGAAAGCAAGTATTTTCCCTTGAAGTGAGTGCGTCCCAAGCGAGGTCCCTGAGCACTGCACTTTGTTTTCAGTTGCTCATAAAAATCCTAGATTTTATCGATTTAGATAGGTCAAAATGCCAAACTTCTCGGATAGTTAGAAACAAATCAAGTCAAATCTGAATTGCTGCAGGGAAGTAATTAAAAGGTGATTTTGGAACACCATGAGACTTTTACTCGTTGTACAAAATTTCTCACAACAAAACCTTTCTCGATCAATTTACCGCAGGAAAAGCGGAAAGCTAAACAATTTCTTACAGAATTGTTTCAAAACATTACAAACAATCTCTTTGCTTCTATGAAACAAAGAAATTGACTTCCTAATGGGTTCGAACAGTGAGTGGTTTGATATCATTATTGAATTCTTCGCTGAATTACTTTCAATGGGCAATTGCCAACAACTTACGTACGTAAATTTTATCACAAGTAACTCTACAACTAAACACATGTAAATAAATGGAAATCTGCTTAGCTTAACGAACTTAGAGAATAGCAACGCTTTTTGTGGCATGCGACTGCATACGAAACAATGGCAGTGCATTCGGCATCTTCAGTACTGTAATCTTGCGATTTTTATCAAAATTCTTGTACGGATCATTCAAATGTCATGATGAGAAACTCACATTGAAAAATCTGGTAACTATACAAAAGTCACGAGATTCAACACGACTTGGACTGATGGCATAAAATAGGAATAGAGATGGACAAGAAGTCATCACACTTTCCCGTAAACGCGTGAAACAAAGCTGGGGTAAAACTGGAGCTTGCGAGGCTTGAAGAGCAAATTTATTAGGAAACAGTGACGCTAACAAAATATCTGCTACAGCCATTACGGAGGTTTTTAAGTTTTTAGTTAGTTTCAATTCTAAGTGAGTATGTAGCATCAAGGCGAGTCCGTCTTTCCAAAAATGGATGAAACCGAGGTTGAAATTTTCAACTTGACAGAAGAAATACGCAGAGTTATACGAGAAGTAAAAAGAGCAAACCGTGAGTGTGATTCGTCCTATCTAGAGAACCAGGACGCTGCATCATGTGTACAAATCCTAGCACAAGCAGTGGGAAAATTGCTTTGTAACTACGAAAATGCTAAGGAAGAAATAGACCGATTAGAACTGCGAAATGTAGACCTTTTGAGCAGAGAAATCGAATTAAACAGTAATTGTGTACGATACCAGATGCAATTAGTTATACAGGAGAATTTTGTTAAGGAACAAGGGGCAAAACTACGGTTGATGGACGAGGAGTTGGAAAATGTCCGCTTTATTTTAGAGCAAAGAATTGAGGAAGAAAACAGGATGAATATGCTAAGAGACATTCACGAAATGGAGTTTACTGTGAAAGCAGCCGAAAATGAAGACAATTTGCAAGAAGCGTTGTCTGAAAAAGAGGCAACAATGGCGGGACTCGAACTGTGTGTACATCAATTGACGGAGGAGATTTTCAAAGTCAATGACGTCATTGATAAGCAGCATATTGAGCTAGAAAAGAAAGATATTTTGCTTAAAGAAGCTTCAGAGAGAATCCAAATGGTAGAGAGTGAGAACGAGAATTTTCTTTCAAGACTTATATCACTTAGAGAAGAACCAGGTTTAGCAAAAAATAATTTAGAGGACAGGGGTGCAAGGAGCACTGTGGCAACCGGAGAGGACGCATTAAGACAAAGCGTTGAGAATGAACCTCAGTTGGATTTACAATTGAGCGATCGTAGTCGATGTTGTGAAAAAGAAAGAGAAAATGGTAATATTTTGATCGTTGATGACGAATATTTACGCAAAGATATTCAAAAGCATCAAGCAGTTCATAAGATAGACGGTGATGTGGAAAGTCAATGGGAAACCACAAATGCAAAGTCTTTATTTCAGAAAAACAAAAGGCCAGTTAAGAAACACAGGCTTAGGTGCTTTCAAGGTGACCGCAGTGTCTCGACTGGAATTTCGAAAGAACACAAAGAGATTACATTTGATAGAACTAACAATTCAGTGGCAGGAGCTCCTATAAATTGCGTGAGAGGTTCGCATGAAAATCGAGAGAAAAGAATGGATACGTTTAGATTTGACGTTAATGCAAATGCTGTGCCGAATGCAAACGAACCCAGTGCTTCGCTTGTCAAGAATTCGGCAGTTAACACCGAAGACCTTCATGCAACATTTGATTCTCAGATAGCTGAAGGGAATTTCGAAAATGTTGAAATCAATGAAAGAACAAAAGGAAACGCGAAGGAATCCCCAGAAGATTTGCAAAAACAGGATTTGGATCGAATTACTAACGGTTACCAGATTGAAACGGGACAGGGACAAGATTCAAAAAAACTTTCGTTAAAAAGCGATAAATCGCAGGCAACGGTCATGGAAGAGAAAAATACAAGCAACATCGGGGAGTTCGCAAGAATCAACGAAACAATTCAAGTTGCATATACAATAAACGAACAAGAATCAGATACTGAGGATTCCGAATTGAATGACACTGTTGAATTATCTTTGACTCTTGGAGAAAACAATTTTAGTGAGGTCGAAATGAGGTTAATGCAGTCGGATGATAGCAGTGACAGTTCATGTAATGAAAAGGAGGACGAGCACGAAAATTTGAATGAAAATCAAAGGGAATTGGAAACAGTTGAGACATCTAAAACAACTGTACCAGCACTTGAAATGCAAGCAATCGATATCAACCTAATCGAAGCTACTGCTGCGTTAGAAGTAGAAGTAGCACCTGCAGAAGTTCCAGTTTTAGAGCCACCAACAATGGAAGCACCAGAGACACCTGAAATCTTAAAGCCAGCTGTGGAAGTGCCTGAAGCAGACAGCGACAAAATGGAAGCTACTGCTGCGTTAGATATAGAGGTACCATCTGCAGAAGTGCCAGTTCTAGAGACAGCAACGGTGGAAGCACCAGAGACACTTGAAAACACAGCACCAGCTTTGGAAGTGCCAGAGGCAGAATGCAACAGCATTGAAGTTCCTGCTGCGTTGGAAGAAGAAGTACCATCTACAGAGGTATCGGTTTTAGAGACACAAGCAATGGAGGCACCAGAGACACCAGAAATCCTAACATCAGCTGTGGAAATGGCAGAGGCAGAAAGCAATAAAACCGAAGTTACAGCTGCTTTAGAAATAGAAGTACCATCTACAGAAGTCCCAGTTTTAGAGACACAAACGTTTGAAGGACTGGATACAACTGAAGTCACAGGACCAGCTGTAGAAGTGACAGGAACAGACAGCAATAAAATTGAAGTTACATCAGCAATAAAAGTAGAGGTAACTTCTGCAGAAATGCCAGTTTTAGAGACACCGACAATGAAAGCACAAGAGACACCTGAAATTGCAATACCAGCTGTAGAAGAGCCAGTTTTAGAGACACCAACAGTGGAAGCACCAGAGACACCTGAAATTGCAACACCTGCTGTAGAAGTGCCAGTTTTAGAGACACCAACAGTGGAAGCACCAGAGACACCTGAAATTGCAATACCAGGTGTAGAAGAGTCAGTTTTAGAGACACCAACAGTGGAAGCACCAGAGACACCTGAAATTGCAACACCAGCTGTAGAAGTGCCAGTTTTAGAGAAACCAACAATGGAAGCACCAGAGACACCTGAAATTGCAATACCAGCTGTAGAAGAGCCAGTTTTAGAGACACCAACAGTGAAATCACCAGAGACACCTAAAATTGCAACACCTGCTGTCGAAATGTCAGTTCTAGAGACACCAACAGTAAAAGAACCAGAGACACCTAAAATTGCAACACCTGCTGTAGAAGTGCCAGTTTTAGAGACACCATCAGTGGAAGCACCAGAGACACCTGAAATTGCAACACCTGCTGTAGAAGTGCCAGTTTTAGAGACACCAACAGTGGAAGCACCAGAGACACCTGAAATTGCAATACCAGCTGTAGAAGAGCCAGTTTTAAAGACACCAACAGTGGAAGCACCAGAGACACCTGAAATTGCAACACCAGCTGTAGAAGAGCCAGTTTTAGAGACATCAACAATGAAAGCACCGGAGACACCTAAAATTGCAATACCAGCTGTAGAAGAGCCAGTATTAAAGATACCAACAGTGGTAGCACTAGAGACACCTGAAATTGCAATACCAGCTGTTGAAGTGCCAGTTTTAGAGACAACAACAGTGGAAGCACCAGAGACACCTGAAATTGCAACACCTGCTGTAGAAGTGCCAGTTTTAGAGACACCAACAGTGGAAGCACCAGAGACACCTGAAATTGCAATACCAGGTGTAGAAGAGTCAGTTTTAGAGACACCAACAGTGGAAGCACCAGAGACACCTGAAATTGCAATACCAGCTGTAGAAGAGCCAGTTTAGAGATACCAACAGTGGAAGCACCAGAGACACCTGAAATTGCAATACCAGCTGTAGAAGAGCCAGTTTTAAGGACACCAACAGTGGAAGCACCAGAGACACCTGAAATTGCAATACCAGGTGTAGAAGAGTCAGTTTTAGAGACACCAACAGAGGAAGCACCAGAGACACTTGAAATTGCAATACCAGCTGTAGAAGAGCCAGTATTAAAGATACCAACAGTGGTAGCACTAGAGACACCTGAAATTGCAATACCAGCTGTAGAAGTGCCAGTTTTAGAGACACCAACAGTGGAAGCACCAGAGACACCTGAAATTGCAACACCTGCTGTAGAAGTGCCAGTTTTAGAGACACCAACAGTGGAAGCACCAGAGACACCTGAAATTGCAATACCAGGTGTAGAAGAGTCAGTTTTAGAGACACCAACAGTGGAAGCACCAGAGACACCTGAAATTGCAACACCAGCTGTAGAAGTGCCAGTTTTAGAGAAACCAACAATGGAAGCACCAGAGACACCTGAAATTGCAATACCAGCTGTAGAAGAGCCAGTTTTAGAGACACCAACAGTGAAATCACCAGAGACACCTAAAATTGCAACACCTGCTGTCGAAATGCCAGTTCTAGAGACACCAACAGTGGAAGCACCAGAGACACTTGAAATTGCAACACCAGCTGTAGAAGAGCCAGTTTTAGAGACATCAACAATGAAAGCACCGGAGACACCTAAAATTGCAATACCAGCTGTAGAAGAGCCAGTTCTAGAGACATCAACAGTAAAAGAACCAGAGACACCTAAAATTGCAACACCTGCTGTAGAAGATCCAGTATTAAAGATACCAACAGTGGAAGCACCAGAGACACCTGAAATTGCAATACCAGCTGTAGAAATTCCAGTTTTAGAGACACCAACATTGGAAGCACCAGAGACACCTGAAATTGCAATACCAGCTGTAGAAGAACCAGTATTAAAGATACCAACAGTGGAAGCACCAGAGACACCTGAAATTGCAATACCAGCTGTAGAAGAGCCAGTTCTAGAGACATCAACAGTAAAAGAACCAGAGACACCTAAAATTGCAACACCTGCTGTAGAAGATCCAGTATTAAAGATACCAACAGTGGTAGCACCAGAGACACCTGAAATTACAATACCAGCTGTAGAAGTGCCAGTTTTAGAGACACCAACAGTGGAAGCACCAGAGACACCTGAAATTGCAACACCAGCTGTAGAAGTGCCAGTTTTAGAGACACCAACAGTGGAAGCACCAGAGACACCTGAAATTGCAATACCAGGTGTAGAAGAGCCAGTTTTAGAGACACCAACAGTGGAAGCACCAGAGACACCTGAAATTGCAATACCAGCTGTAGAAGAGCCAGTTTTAGAGAAACCAACAATGGAAGCACCAGAGACACCTGAAATTGCAACACCATTTACAGAAGTACCAGTTTTAGAGACACCAACAATGGAAGCACCGGATACACCTGAAATCACAAAACCAGCTGTAGAAGTGCCAGGAACAGACAGCAACAAAATTGAAGTTAATGCTGCGCTGAAAGTGGAGGTACTATCTGCAGAAATGCCAGTTTTAGAGACACCAACAGTGGAAGCACAAAGGACACCTGAATTTGTAACACCATCTGCAGAAGTGCCAGTTTTAGAGACACCAATACCAGAAGCTCTAGAGTCGCCTGAAATTGCAACACCTGCTGTAGAAGTGCCAGTTTTAGAGACACCAACAGTGGAAGCACCAGAGACACCTGAAATTGCAATACCAGCTGTAGAAGAGCCAGTTTTAGAGACACCAACAGTGGAAGCACTAGAGTCGCCTGAAGTTGTAACACTAGCTGTAGAAGTGCCAGTTTTAGAGACACCAACAGTGGAAGCACCAGAGACACCTGAAATTGCAATACCAGCTGTAGAAGAGCCAGTTTTAGAGACACCAACAGTGGAAGCACTAGAGTCGCCTGAAGTTGTAACACTAGCTGTGGAAGATCCAGGAACAGACAGCAAAAAAATCGAAAGTATTTCTGTGTTAGAAGTAGAAGTGTCATCTAGAGAGGTACCAGTTTTAGAGACACCAACAGTGGAACTACCAGAAGAAACAGAGGTGGTTTTATCTGCGGTATCAGATTCACAGGAATTGAAAATAGCATATTCAAATGATGTTTGCGTTCCTTCGTCGAATGAAAATGCTGAAAATCTAAATTTAGCTTTGAATAGAGCTGCCTTTGGTGATCTGGATGATGGGAAGGTAAACATTGTCAAAGAATCGGAAACATTGAGCATGAATATTGAAAGCCCAAATCGATCGTCCCTTGAAATCCCATCAAATCTTGTTTCAAGCCTCATAAAAGAAAATATGGAACTTAGAGAAAAGATGGAGCTTTTAAATGCTGATAAGTCGCTATTGTTAAAGGAGCTCGATTCTGTCAAAACTGGAGATAGAGCACAGAAGGAATTGCGAATGGAGGTCGACACAGTAGTTGCCGAAAAGTTACTTCTTTTAGAGCAGATTCGAGCTCTAAAAGGTATAATGCTTGACTTCGACGAAAAGTATAAAGAAGAAACTGAACGTTTAATCAAAGAGAAGGATGAGCTGAAAAATTTGCTGGAGGGCCTTAACAATTCAGTAGTAATAAGTGAAAATGATTTAAAAGCTGCAGAGGATAGAGAAAAGTACCTGATCTCCAGAAATGAAAAAGCTGTTGCTGAGATACAAGCCTTGGAAGAGAGGTTAGGTAAGCATAAACCCCAGCCAGATGAGATACAAGTGGCATGCAACGAATGCGAGGCTTTGCGCAAACAGCTAGCAGAGGAGCAAGAAAAGGTTGCTGATCTCAAGATAGAACTTTCCAAGTCAGTTTCTTCCGGAGATGTCGATTTAGATGAGTCTTACGGTGCAAAGGAACCAATAAGCCCTGGAGCAGCTGCTAGGGGGAAAAAGAAGAAGAGATTCTCGCTGTTGTGTACATAAGGTAAGCTTTTGAAATCTACCCTATAAACACTTGTTTGCTCTACTTTAGATGAAAGTAACGTTGTACCTTTTGTACTTAGTACTTGAAGTTACATCTACAAATGTTTAAGAAATATAGGAATCAGAGACAGTTGCTGTATCGCCAGTGCTATAGAAATAGTTAGGTCAGTGTGAAGTACTTACTCTTTTTGTCGCTCATTGATAATGTTTATTCACCGAGTCAATTGTCTTCTTGTTTTCCAAGTTCTAAACAGCCAAATTTCCTTATTAGTGATCAGTATTTAGGTAGACAGTTCAGCTACAAGTCATCATTGGCGGTTTTAGTGGGTCCCGGGGGGCACGGCCCCAGGCCCTGTACTTGTGGAAGGACCCCACAGATGTTTTCGGCGCCTTACCCCGCTGTCCCTAAAACCGCCGCTGCACGTCAGTCATTTCTTTGATATCAAATCGATTTCTCTATTATCACATCATGACATTATCTTTGTATCCCATCACCGTGTGGCTATTGTTTGTATTCAATAAATAAAACTTTATTAAGATGTCAGGATACAGTTGACCTAAGAAATTTTAAAGGGCATACATAAAAGCACATGAAAAACTTCGCAATTCATAAGAATTTTTATAGCATTTCTTACATGGCATCTTTTTCATCATTAACTTGTTAATGCCTGAAGAACTATTCTGATTTTTTTTTGTTCGATAATTTTACCTTATTGTTATAAATTTGTCATAATTCATTTAATATTCACGACTGCATGTGGTGCATGCGGATATTGCGAATGTCGCCAATTTTAATTATTAAGGTCACTTGAAAACCAAAACTTTTGACCATGATATCCTGTCCAAAAGAGTATAAAGTCTGCTTGCCCAAGCTGCACAGTGCTAAGCACTCAAGGGGTACTGGCGGCAGATGCCAGCTGAATCAAAACAATAAATACAGGTCCAAAGTTGAAATTTACTAGTTGAAACTGGTTGGTATAGGGGCTAATTCTCCAGAGCATATGTTGGCCGACCACCTCTACTTGATGCTCGTAGAATTATTCGCATTGATGTCTCATTCCTGAAATTTTCTCTCAAAGCGCTCATAATTTTTTTGAGAATATGTACTACACTTTGACCGCAACCTAATGTCCCATTGTTGATAAGGCCCAGCTTATGTGCCATGTCCTGCTCTTGGTCTTTTTGCTCAAATATACAAACCTATTCATGAATAGTATTAGCATAAGTGGCTTCGGCCAGAAGGACTGCGGAAATGTGGCTTTTGTCTAATTTCTTTGAACGTTTCACCTTTGCTTCTTGTTTCAGAATAACTACCGCGAATTTAACTAGCTTGCTATCAAAATGCCTCCCATCAAAGTCGTCAAGCACCTTGTTTAGCCTGTTCTTTTTTCGATAAACATGTAGAGAACGAAACCTTTCTGCATCCTTTCATGCTTAGGTAGTTGCGTTCAATCACTAACTTAGGCCCTTTTTATTCAGCTATTTCTGATGTTTTATATTTATGTAATTAATGTTCTTATTAAGTTTAAAAATATTCTTATATGGAAATCAATTCTTTCTCACTAATAGAATCCTCCTGTTGTGGACATGTTGTGCAGGACGTGTTGTGCAAATAAAATAATAGAGGCATGCACTCTAAAATTTTAACTAGTGAAATTAGTAGATTTACTTGACCAAGGTTTGACTCCTGACGGGTATCATGGTCAACCGAAGTAACAGGTTGCTCTGAGGCTGGTTGAGTAACCCAGCAACAATTTTAAATAGCTTAAATGCTCCATAGGAACCACGTGAAAACGAAATTTGATGCAAATTGTGTAATTATCGTATCTACAAGCAATATATTTCAATCATTTTATCAAAAGCAGAAAAACTGTATATCCTTATAGCTTCGTTAACTACAGGAAATATTAGTAAATTTATTTTGGTTTGAAAATCGTTTGTAGAATAACTTAATTGAGTCGATGACAGGTTTATTTTTCAGCAGCAGATTGTTGACTTTCTGTCCTTAGGCACTAGCATAGCTTCGAGTTTTTTAGATATGTTAAAGTACTATAAAGGCTAAGGTTCGCAAATGACTGCACAACATTTATTTTACTTATTAGACTGCCCGCTTTTTGAGCATTGAAGTCTCTGGGTTTCAATTGTTGTATTTAACAAATTTTGAATTTTCATTATAAACATATTCAGGTCATTTCAAATTTGTGACATTTCCTTAGTTTATAGAGGCACTGACTACAGACCCAAGGGTCCGCGGTTCGAGTGCCTGGCATGACCAAACTTTCTCTCAGAGTGGGGAAAGTTGCCAGCTCTTTGTACTTCCAGGCGTAGGAATCACGAGGTGTGGTCATATCGAGAAGAAAGACCAAGACACTGCTCGATAAGCATAAGCTTCTCAGTGCCCTAAAAACTACCTTCGGATGCTAGGTAGAAACAAATACAACAAATACAACAAATATTTGTGTCTTTATTTGAGCAGAGAATATGACACTTTCAACAAGAACTATAAATGAACAAATGGAACATACGTGATAAAGCTGAATCATATTTTTTGACTCCACTGAATGAATTTGAATTCAAGTTTGAAATTTACTATATTTGATTTGATGACTTGATTCGACTTAATTTGACTTGCCTTACTTGACTTACTTGACTTGAATTGACTTGACTTTGACTTGATTTGAATTACTTTACTTGACTTGACTTGACTTGACTTGACTTGACTTGACTTGACTTGATTTGATTTGACTTGATTTGATTTGATTTGATTTGATTTGACTTAATTTGAATTACTTGACTTGACTTGACTTGACTTGACTTGATTTGATTTGATTTGACTTGACTTGACTTGACTTGACTTGACTTGACTTGACTTGATTTGATTTGATTTGATTTGATTTGATTTGATTTTTTTCATCCTTTCAGATTCACGTAGAGAAGTTGAAGATGAAGTTGATTAGAAGTTGGTTGTGGCTTTAGACGATTCTGAACCTATCATTGCTCAAAAAGAATTTCCATGAGGCTGGTATTTGAGCGCAGTTACTCTATTGCATTTGTTTTGCAAATATTTTTATTAAATATATCTTTTTTAAATATAGATCAAATTTTAATTGATATTTATTACCTGCTTAGTATGTAATTACTTAAAGTTGCCATGGAATTATTGAAAGTAAGGCTTTGTCTTTCAAAGGGATTACCAAAGCTGCAAATATGTTCATCATCAATCATGGTATTTTTGATAAATCACAATCAGATTTTCATGAAAATAATAGAAAATTTGCTGAGTGAAACTATTGATTCTGAAGCCTGCGTAGAAGCATGCTCAAAAAATGAAACATAAACAAAATAGAAGGACAATATTCCATAGGGCGTATACGACACTCACACTAACCTATGCTCTCTATTTTCTATTACAAAAGGATATTTGCTTTTTCATCATGTAAAGCCCTGGAAAACGTTTTGCCGGGGCTTAAGTTGCTTCGTGTCAAGTAAGACTGATTTTAACAAAAAACACCGCCTCATAAAAATTCACCCAGTTGTGACTTTGCAATTTTTCATTCCTTTTTTATCTATTTTATTGAATATTCTTGACATTGGACTTGCTAGTAAATGACAATGGACAATATTTATTCAAATTTATGATTATATTGAAATTAAATATTTCTGCATTTATAAATGTAACTGAAATCGTTTTGTAAGGTGATTATACAAATGTATATACATATTCGTTATAAAAAATACTGTTCGTCAAAGTCCGTAGAAGAAACTTTGCTATATTTTAAATATGTAAGCTATCTATGAGTATATATGTTAAAGTATAATGTATCTTTAACAGTGAATAGTGTTCGAAAGTCTGGATTTTAAATCGACACTTTTACCTGGCTTTTTATCAGTGAATCGTGAATTCCAATTCCTACTAAGGAAAAAATAATTCTAATTAAATTATGTTGATGCTCAAAAATTCATAATAAGTAGAAAGTAAAAAAGATTGCGATGACTGATTTTGAATATTCAGAGTACTAGAACATTCAATAACTTGTGAAAAAGAGAAAAATTTAAAATTCTTTAAAAGATCAAAGTGCTGTATTTGTATTCAATTAGATTTTTAAATGTATATTAAAAAAACTGCATTATTATCACTTATGACTTTTCATTTGTCTTTTATATAAGCAATTTGTAAAACAGCTCTCAATGACGTTTTTCTCGTGATGTTCCTTGGTTACACTTGAAAGTTTTTCTAGCTGCTCGGTTTTTGAAAAAGCGTTGGGATTTGTGAATTCGATAAGTTAGCAAAAAATTAATTCCATTTCATATACCAGTCAGGACGGGGGTAAAAGCAGCAGTTGCCCTGCGTTGTAACAACAATTTGCAGTTGGGGGGCAATACTCAAATTCTTAGACTTCACCCTCAATCTGCGCAAAGGTACCTACAAACCCTTTCAAAAAGTCCACAACAAAGAGCTACAGATTTTTCAGACCCTGACTGCCTCTCTTATATAGGAAAATGTGTTTCTAAAATAACAGAAATATTTGGACTAAATCAAGCATACAAAGGTTACATAGCCACTATGAGTCAAAAACAGAACTATGAATCAACTACACAATGTCAAAAAAGTAAACTGTAAGTTTTTCGTAGCCATTCAGTTGAAAATTCTTCAAAAGGCAAAACTCGAGTTAGGTTTCTTTTTGAAAAAAGGTGAGTCAAGGCACTCTGACAAAAAGGTGTGCTGCATTTTTTTAAGAACCAGTAGATTTAAGCTCAAGCTCACTGTTCTGCGTTTTTTTTGAAAATCTGAGGCTGGTTTGTTCTCAATTTGTTCTTAAGTTGATAGGGTGTGAGCAGTGAAATTGCCAGCTTTTTGCTCTAGGGTGGTGTTCAGGCCTCACTTGCCAACAAAGTGAGTGAGACAACCTTCATTTGCCGACAAGTTTGAACATTCACCGAAAAAGCACCTACACATGGCTAAAAGTCCTCGTTTTTTAGATAAAATGGTGTTAAAAATTGTATTTTACAGTAGCTCAGCATCAGCTTGTTCTTAATTTGTTCTTAACTTTTGACCAATTTTGAGGCTTTTGTTCTTATAAAATTGTTCTTATAAAAAAGAGTGCATATCGCCTTATTGGGGCATCAATGTACGTCATAGATGAAAAAAGGCATAGCGACTTCATAATTCTTCAGCAAAAACCTGTTTCCAATGTCGTTGGTCTGCTTGCACTCGGAGTGGTTCTGCATGCCACAGTTGCACATTTGAATATTTCAAGACAAGGAATATCTTGAAAGTAAACAGGTTTAATGTTGCTTACATTTCAGGAATGAAGTGTCCCCTCTTGGCAAAGGAATAATCTAGCAGAATTTTAACTATGCCATTTTTCAAAATATAATTTGGAAAAACTGTAGGCAAGGGGGGGGGCAAGTTGTTGTCATTATTCTCATTTGGGGGACACAGCCCCCCGTGCCCTCCCCTGCAGCTACCTTAGTCCCTCCAAATTTCGCCTGCCTTTAATTTTCGCCCCGGAGGGGGGCGAAAATTAAAAGGTGGTTAAAATATCTATTTTCTATAATAGAATCTTAGTTTTTAGGACCTTCAAGGAAACTTCAAGTTACCATCTTTGTGCGCGTCAAATTTTCATCCTGCGTTGATTGCTTTCATTGTTACAGTTCTCATTTAGTGACTTTCTGGGAAAATATCCACACTGAAGGCTGAAGGTCATAAAAAGGATTTCTTTATCCTTCCAATGTCTGAAGGGTGATTTGTTCTTCCATTTCCAAAGTGTTCTCCTTCTCAGGGCCATATTCGTTCAAATCATCAGCGGCCAATCTCTCATCGGCTTCAGTTTGGTCAGAAGATACTATCATCTTCTCTGGCTCAATATAGTAGTCTTGCAGATATTCTTTCATTTGATTGAAGACATAACTTGGCGCCTTATCCTTATTAAAGATTAGCACAATCGGTATTTCGAGTCCACCTTTAGGAATTGGCGATCTTCTATACTTGTTGTCTCGTACACGACCTTCTAAAGCGCCTCCATAATTCAAGAAAAAATGGCAAAAGCGATTTTTCAGCAAAAAGTTTCCAAGCAAAAAAATGTTTTTCAGAGGCCCGAGTGTAGTTCCATGCCGTATGAGCGTTCATTGCATGGAAACTGATTAGGTCAAAGCTTTGAAATTTAAAGGATTTGGGGGCGAAAATAAAAGGGAGCGAACTTGTGCACAAAATGGGCGAAAATTAAAGGGAGCCAAAATTGAAGGTAGGCTAAATTTGAAGGGACTATTGTACGTGGCTGCACAGGAGATAGGAGAATGGATTCTATTTCTATCACAATATTTTTATCATAAACCAACTCTGCTTTATCATAAGCCTTTCTTGGTTAGGCATTGTTATTCTATAATTTTGATACTTGACATCCAAATTAAACAAGACCTTTTGTCAGCATTGTAGTTTAGTAGTGCCTTTTCGAAGTTTAGATTTCATCATTGTTTTTAACATCGACTTGATAGCATCTGCAAGGATTTTAACATAGATCAAGCTATGATGAAATAGATCTATGATGAAATGTCAGAACATAGATTGGAAACTGAGAATTGGATCGAAACGGGGTGGATCACTGATGAATAAAAGTTACCCATGGATATCTTCGGGCCTTATCAACAAAAAAATCATCATCATCATCATTATCATCATCATCAGCATCATCATCATCATCATCATCATCATCATCATCATCATCATCATCATCATCATCATCATCATCATCATCATCATCATCAGCATCATCATCATCATCATCATAATCATCAATCATCATCATCATCATCATCATCATCATCATCATCATCATCATCGTCGTCATCATCATCATCAGCAACGAAAAAAATTGTCGATGCAAATGAATAAAACTTGCAGAGTCTCAATTCGTTGAGAAATGCCTTTTGCATAAGTCAAAAAGTATCTGATTTCGCTTGTGGACAACAGTAATACTTTGTTTTGAAGACATGTTCAGGATTTCACCGGACTTTCAAAATCAGTCCCCTTCGCCTATGGAAGACACTTTCATCCATGACAAGTGTTGACAATTGGCATGAGCTAATTTGAAAAGAACAATAATATGATCAGGGTCTCAACAAAGGGAGGAAGGGGTGGGGAGCATGGCGCCCCACATTTTTGCAGAACAATAAAGTCTTTTCAAATCCTTTTGTTATAGGTGTTGAATTTTCCCTTGGTCCCGTTCACTTTCCAACCTGTGTCGAAGCCCATAATGATCCACACATATCACTTGATAGGTGATTAGGGATATTTACCGTCCAAAGACCCAACTGCCAATCTACTTGTCCAGGCTCGTCTCTTCCATGAAAATGGTTTCGAGTTTTGTCTGACGTTGCTTCCTTCACCGACTGACTAAACACGCAAAAACATAATAGATAAACATTCCATGTAGGTATGATACAGCAAGCCCAGGCACATACAAGTACATTGTTTTCAAGAAAAAAATACGAAATTCAATGGGATTGATGATATTTAGTGATAATTGTAAGGGGACTTTTATTTATATTTGAAACCGACATCAAAAAATAATACTTCTACAAGCTTTCATTTTATATGGAACCCAGCTCGTGTTTTTGAAGTTCCTTAGTTTTGGACTTCTTGTTATCAAATTGTGGTACAAAAAGTTCCTTGATTCTCCTAATTCAAATACACGTTTTCTGTCATGAAAACTTCACATAGTACATTAGAATTCTGTATCAGTGTCGCTAGATTTTTAAATGAAGCTAGAAACAAGGTGGGAAACTGAAAGAAGACTAGAAAGATGTTTGATAAATGAAAAAGTGAAAATTCAAATAAGAAAGAAAATGAAACACTCAAAAGTACACAATGAAACACTTGATAGCTAGCTATCTACGCTACACGCCATTTATACGATCTTTAGCTCAAAATGAATGGAACTGGCTTCTTCATTCTTGTTTGTTTGCAAAGATGAAATATTTAGAATGAAAAGTTCTTCAGGGGTTTTATCTTTAGTACTAATGGCTCTTTAATTTCTTTGCCTGCTACATGTGCGTTCCTTATAAAGTGGTTCCTTATAAAAAATGTGTATATAATGTGAATGCCAGTTCGATATCATAATTATTTGCTATGCAATATTGATACCTGTTGAAAATTATGAATACTTGGAAACAACAAAGTTCAATTTTTTTTTCATTTGCTAACTTGGGGGGTGTGAGCGATTTTCTTTTCTGAGAACAAAGCTTGATTCCACAGCTAAGAGAGATTCTAAGCAGTATAAAAATCTAATAAATACTAAAAATTCCAGAAAGGGAAGGCTAGGAAAATGCCCCTTTCTCACCTCTTCTTTGTAGTAGGACTATATGTTATTATTTATCGTATAGTACTATGCTAACCTCGTTTTTCCCGGCGAGTTGTTTTTCGAACGAGGGATGGCAGGTAATTTGGCAAGAGAAACAACAACATTTTCCGACTGGCAGGGGATGGGGAAAATTTGACTTTGCAAATGGGCACCAAAGAAGGCTGTTAAAAATGGATTTCAAATTTGGCCTCTAAAGTGTATTCAATTTCTTTTGTTATGGATTTCCTCTCATTCATCAATAAGAAAAAGTTATCTGTTGACAGGTGCAAGAAGTAAAAATCAGGCACAAGTTTCATCAACAACGGCGTTTCTTTTATTTTCATCTTGAATTTGAATCTCGATAAAAATAGACTAGGTTATTTCATCAGAAAAAGAAAGCACGGACACTTCCTGTCTTCTTGGCAGGTTAAAAAAAGTTGATTGGTTAAAAGAGAGTCACGTGAAAAATTTGGCCAATTAGATTTAGACATTGCCACAGCTGTTGAAACCTATGACGTCGATTGCATTGTACTTTAAACGGAAAGAATTCTAAACCAACATTAGTTGGCGAAGCAGTTTCAGTCACGGTTAGGGAAGTAAAGGGATATACAATATTCCTCATGTACTTACAACAGAATAAATTATTTCAAAGTAAAATGGGCGTGTTGGAGTTGAATGGAGTTGATAGCAAGAAAGTGTTAGCTACCCTTGACGAGCCATGTTCGGGAGTTCCAAGGAAAAGACGACGTCTGGACGACTTGACGGCCGAGGAAAGAGTCCTTCGGAGGTAATGGCCTAAAGGTTTTCAATTCGTAGTGCTGGTCGCCGTAATGAAAACTGCACCTTTAAAAACGGCTTCTTCACTCGAGTCAAGAAAGCTTAGAATGGACAGTCTTGTGTATTATAAAAAAAGTTTTATATTCCAATGTAACCAATTCTCAACCCTGCAGCGATAACGTTGTCAGCTGATGTTTCACATTGCGTAATTAAGGAACGTCCAAGTTAAATTAAGTTTTTAAAAGTTTCATGATTAGCAGACAGAGCAAGAAAGTGTCAATGTTTCTATGTGCTTCAGTAATGTGAATTAACGAGAAGTGTATTCTTGTGATTATCGTGCAAGACAATTTGAAAATGGATGCAAAAGCTCTCGGGCAAAATTGAAGCTGGATTAAATCTTATTGGCCTGAGGGAAGTCTTGCCCTATCTCTGTTTTGCGTATTTAGGCTTTGCCAAAGTTTATTTGTAAGTTTTGCCTTTTAAATTGGGTTTTCGGCTCGATTGATCAATATATTCTGTTTTTCTTTCAGGAAATTAAAAAACCGGGTAGCGGCACAGACAGCACGAGACAGAAAGAAAGCTAGAATGTCAGAATTAGAATGCATTGTTACACAAATAGAAAGAGAGGTAAGAGTATTTCCTTTTGTTGCAAGTAATTTAAGTCGCTTGCTTTCTCCCACAGTCGAAGTGTAAGGCAAAACTTCCCCTTAGAAACCGAAGCAGGAAGATATTCTATCACAGTCGAAGCTATTGTTGCTTGACCTTTTCAAGTCTAAAGATAAAGGAAGCCATTATACAAAATAATTGCTCAGTTGCGACCCACACTACAAGATTTATTGTTCGCGCACGTGATGTGCCAATTAATGTCAGGTTCAAGTTTCACACCAACTGAATACAAAACATGGAATCAGCTGTAACAGGTGTGTCAATAAAAAAAGCAAAAGGACAAATGAATGAAGTTTAAGATCAAGCACAGAGCACACGTCTCTTATTTTCTTATCTTTGTTCTTTGGTGATCATAAACAATTCAGGTACCAGTGTGTTGCATGTTTCCTTCCAAAGTTGTGCTTTTGATGAGGCAAGGTCAATGCTGGTGTTCTTTTGTTTCATAAATTGTAAGAATCCCATGTGTTAGGTGTATCAGGAACATGCACTTGAAATTCCCTTTATTTATGAAGGCTTCAATTCTAATTCATCTGATAATTTAAACAATATGCAAGATTTTAATAAACTCATAGTTTTTGGTGCTCCTGCTTTTCAAGCAAGAGGTTTATAACATTTTTAGGAACAAACTTGTCCACCATGTTTGCCCAGCAGGCTGAACTTGAAAAACATCATTCATTTGATTAAACAAAACACAAAGTTTCAGAAACAGCCCCTCAAACATTTAATATTTCTTGTCACTAATATTCCTTGCAAAGCACTCTTTCAGAAATAACCAGCCCATAGGATCAACAAACTGTCAACTCACAAGTTATCAAATGCAGTTTATAAGAATTTTACCTGCAAAATGTATTTTCATTCACCTCAAAGATGTTGTGAATATGTTAATGCTTGTTTCTGCAGAATCATTTATTAAAAACAAGCAATGAAGAACTTCGTGCAAGGCTACAAATGGTTTCAGAGGAAAATATAAAATTAAAAGATAGGTTTGGATTATCACCACACTCAACATCATCAGACCACGAATACGCAGCTCCATGTCCATTACCACAATCAGCAAAATCGTCATCAAAAGAAAGAATAGATGTCACAGACATAATCAGTGATACAGATCAAATTGTGATCAAGACTGAAGAAGGGTTACCTGAATATGCATCATTCAGAAATGTTTCTCTGCAGCAGAAATTTCAGATTCTTCTTCTGTCTTTGATTTGGTTGCACAGTTTGAGGTAAGATTTCTGTGATTGTTTTCATTTTTGTCTCTTCGGGTTTTATATATATATATATATATAACTGATTTGTTTTTTTTTCAATCCTTTTTGTTTTTAAATCTAAATGATTTGTAAATCTAAATTGTTTGTTTTATTAGAGAAATCAGTAAACATTGGCTATTTACAATATATAGTATTTTTTGCCACTGTAATTCATAATCATAATAAATGGTTTCTTTTTTTAGTCTGAAGACATCAACATCATTGGACAAGCCAGCAAAGAAACTGAGGTGGATGAGGTCCTTAGTGCAATTCCTTTCAAAGTTGAAGAATGTGACAGCGATATTGAGGATGCTCTGTCATCTGTCTCTGGGAGCTCCCCAAGCTCCCCAGACTCGGGTATTGATGGGGACACCCTTGAAGACATCTGCCTCTTTGGAGATGTTCCAAGCTTGGTGGGCAACTCGTCCATTGATGAAATTCTCATAAATGAAGGAGACGTGAAGAGCATTGCGGCAACCTTAGATCCTCAAATTGATGATGCTGTTGTTGATGACATGATGTGGGAAGATCCCTTTATGGAGTTGTTTCCATCTTTGATGGCAGTCTAAAAATTCTTACATTCATAGAAGTAGACAATTGACAACTGCAGCTGTTGAAGTTACTTCTTCAGTATTTTCAGTCAAGCTCTTGCCTGCATTGTTGCTGCTTTTATGTTGTTTCTGTGACTCGATAACTAATTTGTATTGCCAGTAGCAAATGATATCTCACAGTGAATAGGAAAAAATGCCAGCAAGCAGTTAAGGGACCAACACAAGTCAATAGAATAACTTAAGATTGTAAATTGTACATAGATAAAATTCATTGTACTGTTATTTTATGCCTATTCATTTATCAGTATTGTTCAAATTTTAATTAATGGGCTGGATTTTAGACAAGACACCATTAGTTAACTGTCAGCAAAAAAATGTGAAATCATTTATCTACAATTATTTTTTATGCAATTCTTTTAAAATTTACAATATTTGCTATATTGTAGGCACTTGTTGATTTGAAGGAATTAGCCAAATTATAGGAACTTTTGTCTTTTATTTTTAAAGACATTGACATGTGATGGTGTCTAAATTTAGGGCACACCTTTGATTTGAATGTTAACTTAGAGTTGATGTAGATTGAAATTTGTGTTCTTAATATCATGTATCAGCACTTCACACCAATTGGGGGATCTAAAGAACAATGAAAAAGTTAAAAGGTGCACTGTTGTTTTTTTCTAGTCTTCTTTAACAGGAAGGTTTAGTTATGTTAGAAGGCCTTAAGAAATATATAAATTATTTAAGCTTTAAAGACTCTTGTTTGATCTGAGCAAAGCTATATGCTTTTGAAATGATAATGAGCGTGGTGACATAGCAATAATGTCTGTAGTAGAGAGTACATCACTGTGGCTCTAGGACTCACTATTTCTAAAACTATTTTGCCAAATTGAATAGCTAAAGCATGGGCGGATCCAGCAAAAAATCTGACTAAGTTCCAGGACAAGGCTTTTGTTTGTTCGAACAAAGTGGATCTCTCAGTAGTAGCTATATGGCTGTCTCTCTATTTTCATGAAGTTAACTGCCTAACATTTTATTGAATGTTTTTGTTTGTTCGAACAAAGTGGATTGTAGCTATATGGCTGTCTCTCTATTTTCATGAAGTTAACTGCCTAACATTTTATTTGATGTCCAGTTTGAAAAGTTTCAATTCAATTAATGTTTATAATCAATAGCTGAAACTATCTGCAGGTCGCTCAATAGACCTCAAGGTTTGTATCAATTGTTAGCCGCATGGAGAGAATTATGAAATTTTCTTGCTCGTTTGAAAGTAATGAGATTTAAAACAGAAAGTAACGTTTGCAATATCTAGTTCTCAGAAAGATTGTATTTTCCTAAAATGGCTGCCGCAGCGAGCGAAACAGACTTTGCGTATTGATCGGCCAATATAAAATGATAAATAGCATAGACCTAGAACACAACCCTGTGTTATGAAATTTGTTTTCACGACACTGAAGTTTAATTCTGAGAGGTGAGATCCTGTGAAGCTAACAAACACATTTAAAATAGAGCAAAAACCCGGTTCTATTTTGAAAACCTTTTTGGCAGAAACAGCGTTGAGGTCAAGTGATTAAACAATTTCCAATGTTAAAACAAATATTTGTGAATATGATTGGTGTTGCCAGAAAGTCTGAACGTTGCAAGTTGAACATGTTTTCTCGTATACGCACATCAGCCGATGAAAAGAACGGATGTACCTTTCTGAACGCTTCCAAAAGACAGAAAACCGGAACAACGAAATAACTTATTCAAACGTCATGTCAAAATCTCGAAAAATATTTCTTTTTATGAATTTTTTTCAAATTCTATTCAAATGTAGCAGCAATCTACCAACATCAAAATAACAATGAAAACTATATTTAGTGGAACATTTACATAGCTGCTTAAATACTGGGGTTGAAAAAACCGAGTGTTGGCTGTCTTGATAATTCCATTTATAACGAAGCCTCCCTTGAGCAGGAAAGTTGTATTTTACGTTTGTCATTAGAAGGTCGTTATGAAATACTTTTATAAATGTTTCATTGCAAATGTTTCGATTGATATATATATATTAAAATTATTTACTTTTTAAAACAAATTAACTTATCGCATAAAATATAAAAAATAGCTTTGAGGACTTGGTTATGCGCGCGAAGACTTTCGATAATCAACTTCATGACATTTAATACATTGATTCATGAACAAATTACACGAATCGAAATTGTCTGTGCTTCATAACAAACAAATTTGTAAAAGTCAACTATAATTTTAAAAATTCTGGAATGAATTGTACAACAATGCTCATACACTTATGTTAAAGGTATTCAATGATACTAAAGATGCCTAGGCCATTTTTCAATCAAGAATTGACCAGTGAGTTTGATTCCGTTCACACGCTTATATATTGACTAATATTTATTTACAGATGGCTAAAGCCACTTATATTTAACTACTGCCTTTCGAAAAAGAAAAGCGAGAAGCAGAATCTCAGTCTTATCTATAAAATATTACACTAAAGCTCATCCTTACCAACAGCAAATTCAAACGATTCTAAGATATTGAGTTTTATTTCAAAGGACTTTTTCTTTTTTTCTGTCATTTTCTCCTTTATCATTTTCTGAATTCTTTCACTTTCTTCTTTAATGTAGTCTAACCCTTTTGATTTAATTTTCTTCATAATACTTATGTATTTTCTTGAGGTCTCCATTTTTTTCTTTTCTTTTTGGGCTTCAGTGATTCTTTCTGCCTCAGTGATTATAGAATCATATTCATCAATGTCTGACTTCAGAAACTGTTGCGCTAATGTGTCTAGCTCTTTTATCGTTCCTGGTAATCCTGCAAGGTAAAATTTTAGATTAATGGAAGCAGTTAAGAGACGTTACTATTTAAAAAAGGCAAATCCAAATTCCGCCAGTCAGGGCCCACAGGGAAGTCTGTTCTCATGTCCCCTAAAAAATTTTCCCCTTTTCTAACGATGTTTCTTGAATGTTCCTAGACAATCCTTAAACCTGGCAAATTTGTTCCTTTGATCCTCAAAACCCTTGGGAGAAATAACCTTGCAACCCCTCGCCAATGAATAAAAAACAAATTTTCTGAATATTTTAAAGTAAATTTTGAAAATTGCTGAATAAAGATGAACAAGCTAACGATTGGATGCAAACGTTGGTATTGTTTGGCCTTAAACGAGCGAGCTACCGTACTTTGACAGAACTGATGCATTGACTACAAAGGTTTTAAACAAACTGAACGTGGATTTTAAGAGGAACTGGGTCAATTTTTTACAGAAAAATACAAAATACTATCGTCTGCATGTTTAAAATGTTTGCATAATCCATGACTTCTGCGACATCGAAGGTGAAGAGAAATAAGAGAAGAGCAGCTATTGAGCCTTGTTCATTTATAGCAAGTCTTGTTTATCCGAAAGAGAATGGTAGTCTTCAAATGTATTGTATTCATCAAAGGGGTATAAATTGTGGACAAAAAATAGCCTATAGCTCCTTAAGGGGAGGAGAAACCATATTTGATAGAGCAAGTTACAGCAATCTTATGTAAAAAATGGACCGATGCATTTTGCACTTTTGTGTTTCGAACTGTAGGTTTAGCGAAAAAGAACAGCGGCTGGAAAACATGCCCCATTTAAATGAAAGGTTGAAATGCACGACCCTTTAAATCGTTATCAGATCGAAGTCCAACTGAAGGACAATGCCAAGAATAAGCGCTGTTAAAATCGATGTTCCTTCGGCTCAAAGTCGAAGGAAAACAGCCCTTGATAAAGGGAGATGGGGGGGATGGGGTTATAACACCGACGTTTTAAAACCTGCGTTTACCACAGAAATTCAATCAGAAAGCAGTAAGATAAGTTATATTTCATGCTACACAAATCGGTTATAAATCAAATTTAAATATTTCCCCATTAGGAAGGCTTAACATCCTTTATAGATCATATGTAAGACCACACTGGAGCGTGGAACTAAAAATACAAAAAAACATAAGTTGTCTAGAGGAAGGTGGTTAGAGGATTGAAAAACTTCCCATATGAGCTGAAGCTGCAGAGACTTAGATTGAAAGAAGTCGACTTAGAACAGGTGACAAGGAAAGAAAATGTAGACCATAAAATATGTTCGCCTTGACTGCATGGAAATTTTTTCCAAGAGAGCATAGTCTGAACATTGAAAAAAGGAAGATCAAACTTCTTCGCACAGCGCGTGGTGGATATCTGGAAACACTTGCCTCAGTATGTGATAGATGCTACCTTTGTCAGCTCGTTTAAAAACCGACAATACCACTACTGCAAATTGCAATGGCACGAGCACATTTGAAAGGTTTCGGCCTACATTAGCTCATAACCCATATCGTATCGTTTCCAGTAGCGTAGCGAGGCGGACGCCCCCTCCCATCTATGACAAAAAGGGCGTTTTCTGGCATTAAAAGGATGTGGACCCCCATTTTCCCCTTGCTCAACTAGCTCTTGTCACACTGGCTGTGCTACTGATGGTATCGTATTGTATCGTTTATCGACGTCTCTTAAAGATGCGAAGTAAGAGACCTTATGAAGATAAAATGAAACCATATGAAAAAATGCACTACGTTTTAGTTTCTTCTTCAAAACCGGCTATTTTGCTAATGAAAATATGAATATAATGCAAGTAGCATTGACAAAAGCAGAGAAACAGCTCATCCTTCATTCTTTTTTGACAATCAAAAAGACTGCTATTGTCAGATATTCATGATAACTTGACCAAGCCAACATTTCGTAATGAATCAATATTTATTGAGTTTGTTCATATCTGGTACTCTATTTTCTACCGAGAGGTGTAGTAAAATAACTTTGATTATGTAAACCTAATGAACAGAAAGATAAACATTCTCCATTTATACTCTGGTGTGGACTCAAAGTGCCTTATCGTTAACAAAAGACTAAATTAACCTAAAAATCTTGCAAAGATGAATAACACGTCATCTTAAATATTTGAGTGGTGGTGTTTCCATTTGTAACCCAAATGTATTCAGCATGTTCATGAGAGGAGTGGGCAAGGGCAAAGCTAAAAGGTAATCAGAAGATATAAAATGTGCTCTAGTCAACATTCAATCAAAGTTGAATAATTAGTGAGTGTGATTCCAATCTCGATTGCCAAACCACATTTTTCGAACAAAATCACACTTTTCGCATCAAAATATCAAAGATAGAATACATCAATGTGATCAACATAGTAATTTATGATATATGCAGATAAACAAATTTTGACATACCAAACCAAAACCCAGTTTGATCTGCTGTGAATTTTAACAAATCATGTTCAGTAACTTCCCCTGAGAAGCTGATTGGGTCTTTTCCTTTCTGAAACAATTTGAATGATGGATAATTCTGTGATTTGATACCAAATCGTTCCATAAGATCTTGATTTTCTTTCTCTCCCCAATCTGAAAAATTAAAATGACTATGTGTGCCTTGTTGATCTTAAAAAATGTAATGAAACTGCAGCAGAATATGAAAAATCTTGGAAGTTACAAATTCTTTAAAAACCAGCAAGAATTCAGAAAGGAAAAAGACATGATAAATAATAAAGAGCTGAAAATTATTTAGCAAGAAATATGCCCTAAAATCCTCCTGGACAGCAAAAAGGTGATAACATCTGCCCAGGAATCTATAATTATTGATGAGAGTGGTTAAGCTTGCATGCATATCCTTTATTCTGTAACAATATAATCAAAAATTGACACTAGCAGGGCAGGCTACCACCCAATAAATATAAGATGCTTGATTTTCGGTTTTTAAAAAAGTCTCAAAAATCTTGTCAGTTTTTTTCCAAGATCATGGCTACAATGAGGGCTTAGTCATATGCAACAAGGTCTTTTAGTTTCTTGCAATGATAGCCCTTGTCCTCCCCAAGGCCCTCGTCAAAATATTGCACAGGCTTTTGACAACCTTGACAAAAACATGTCTTGCTAGCAAGAGACAGGAAGCACATTTAAGAAAAAGTTTCTTCCTACAAATTGTGATATTTCTGAATAAGAGGTCAAGTTGCTAATGAAAACAAAGCATTATTGCTTGATCATTTGCATCAAAAAGTATGTTTGAAAATTGGGGGTAATCACATGTTTAGAAAAACAATGTTTCAGCACTCGCAGGTTGTTGATAACCTAATATCCCCCTCAGGCCTTGTAAACTTATCCACACTTGCAGTTTGCTGCCCTTATTGAAAATTTATCTCAAAAAAGGCCTGTAAGCAACATTAGCCAGAAGCATTTTGAAAAGGACAAATAAAGAGAGGAGAGTTTTAAAAAGCAAATCTTTTCGACAACTAAACAGTACTGTATTACAAAGACTAGTTAAAACAAAAGTTACAGTTACAGCTTGGCTTTAAATTAAAATATAAACTGAACAAAAAGTGAGAAACAGCAAAACTATCCAGATTCTTCAAGTAATTAAACTCAAACAGGAAAAAGTAAACCTCTAGAGGGAAGAGTAGGCCTTCAAAACAAATGAAGAAAATAAGGAACAACACAATGCATTGACAATTAATAAAAACAGAACAAATAGATCATTAATAGCTAATTTTTTGCAATGGCATACAGGGCTTTTCATTTTATCCCTTTTTCTCTCAACTACATGTTGTTGTTACGACAAAAATTTTTGCTACTATGGCTTTTACCCTACTTGAATTCAGAACAAAGAAAACAAATGATATCTCGACATATACTGACAATGCTTCCTAGCATATACTACATACCTATTTATTTGTTCATAATTTCAATTGTAATAGCAGGGCCCATACCACCAGAGGGGCCATGCCCCCTGCACTTTTTTGCAAAGCGTGTAGTTTCAAACTGCAGTAAAAGGGAAAAAGCCTTGGCCCTCCGCCCCCACCCCACCTTCAAATTCGTGATGTAGGCCCTGAATAGATCTTCTAGCTTCTTTGTTTACATTTTTTTCTTTCATATTTCTAGGGGCCGTTTGGGCAGTATAACAAATGGTGTAAGGTACAGTGAAACACAGAAAAATAAAACAAAAATTAATACAAAAAATGTGCTCAATGAAATTAAATGCATCTTACCAGTTGCACCAACTTCAGCAACTAAAAGGTCTGGGTGAGAGGAAACCTTGTCAGCAAATTTTTTGAAACTGTCCTCTTTTTCTCCATACGCGTATTTTTTATCAAACTTTACCAATGTTGCTTTAGAAATCTCTATAATCTGAAAAATATTGTCTCAGTGTTGGTACACAACCTGAATATTTAATCTCCATTGTTATCATCTTAAAAATTTTCATATGAAATTGCCCGTTCATTAAAGTTGTCTCAATGACGATAATATGATATAAGGGTGCCTTTTAATGAACGATAAATTCATATATTTAATGATAATAACATTAATTACTTGGCCTACATTATAAACTGTAATTTTAAATATAACTAGCAATATTAATTATAAAATCTACCTAGTTGTACCTTATCAAATGTGACACTGTCAAGAGACAGAATTCCTTTGTGTTCTGATAAGACGGCCGTGCAAAGTACAACAAGGAAATAAATTGCTTTGGTGATAAAAGCCATCATTTCATCCTTTGGAATGATTGCTGCCAACAAAAAGAACTCTGAACCTTCGGTTGTGTTCGTGACCTTACTAACTTTTAAATGATTAAAGAGAAAAATGCTACCTGTCAGTGACAGGCTGTCACAAGTCACAATGATGTTAATTAAATTGGAAGCCTGGAGCGAGTCTCATTTTCAAATTCGCGCGGTGAAGTAAGATAAATATGGCAGCATAGGCATGAAATACAGGCCCGTAGCCAAGGGGTGGCATGGGGTGACAATGCCACCACTGGAACATAAGAATGCCAGCTGTTTGCCACGCCGAGAAATTTGTCTTTAAATTTTCAATGGGGTTTTTTCGTCGTTTTTATTGGATTGCTATGGCATTCTGCGTCAAGCTAAAACTGACAGAAGGAATTTTTTTTATATCGGAATCTCTTATTTCCAATGTAGGACTTAATATAGTGCTTGGTGCTTAACAAATTGAAATATTTTTCCGATGCTAAACAAAAACTTCACGGGAAAAATTTGAAAATTTTCTTAAAATCAAGTTTAAGAAGCGATGACCGTCGCTTGGCTGAAATATTACTGCATCGGTTCATTTTTGCAAAGTGCATGCTGATGGAAATTCTAAAGCCAATAAACATAATTGTGAAGCAGCTTCAATCGTCCTGTGAAAATCGTGTCACAGCACCGTCTGTAGTCAAAGCAAAGAGACAAGACTTTCAGTAATGATGTAAAGACTTGACTGAGGACCAATACTTGTAGATGGTTGTGGAGTTTTCTCGGTAAATGTATTAAAAAATAGGTGCACGTGATTGAGGCGGAGTCAACACGTGCATTATTAAGGGTAGATTCCCCTCAGCCACATTCCATGAAGAAGACAGAGAGGAAATGCAACCCTGCATCCCTGACATTTTGGAGTAAGATCTTGAAGAGAGACCTAATATTTGAAAGTTATTTAGTTTAATGGAAGTTAAGTTAAGTCAATTTCTGAAAAAACGTTTCTTCTCACGTTTTTCACGTTACCTCTGTGACGTTATTAGCCTCGTATTTATGTTATGTTGGGCATGCGCCCGGTTTGTTATGTCATGTTATGCGTGAGAATACGAAATGGAGTATTGAAGTTCGAGTTGGGGTGTTCTTTCGTTGTTATATACCGGATAATCTTACAACCTTAGCCTTTTTTGCTTGTTTCTTTTCATTAAACACACCCACCCCACCCCCATCTTACAAACAGTGGTGTAGTGCTATCAAAATAACAAGGGGGGCTCTTGCCCAAAATGTTGCGAAAAACAATAGCAAAATTAGAGATTTGCCAATTTTCGGCATCAACAAGGGGAGCTCAGCCCCCTGAGCCCCCCTTGCTCTACACCCCTGCTTACAAACACTTCACTTTAAACCTTGCCTGCATTGGACATTGGGAGTCTGCCACCCTAACTTCACTGACCTGGCTACGGGCTTGATGAAATACTATGCTTGTGAAAATTACTCAGAGAAATTCAGCATTTGAGTTTTGTTTTGATGTATTTCGTATTTTTTATCGAATACCACTATGTTGGAGAAGGATCCAGAACACTGCAAGGGCCCTTTCAGGGATCAGTTCTCGGACCTCTGCTCTTTCTTCTATTTGTCAATGACTTTTCCAAGGCACAGAATAGAGATTAGATTCTGTGTCCAAGGTTTCGAACAAATTAAAGGTTTAATTTTGTTCCGATGACAGCAAATGTTGCTATGAAACTTTGTGAAGCTTGCTTAAAATTGGATTCCAACAAGACAAAAGAAATGTATCCCAACAAGTAAGCAGAACTAGCAAGGCAGAATTTCGTTTTCGTCCAATTAGATGCTTTGTTTATAATTTTCTTTTAGCCAATCAGAGCTTGCCAATTTTGCCTGGTTTGTTTACAACTTTCTCAAAAGCACCCCTGGCTATAGAGGAAAAGCACTACTGGAGTTTGAGGCTGCCAACAAAACATACTTGAGATAAAATCAACCAAAATTAAAAATTTATAATGTTCATAAAATTTGCTAAAAAATTAACAATTTGAATTTGAGTGAATTCCACGTAATATACCAGAAATCGCAGGCCAATCTTTTTGTATCTCATGGGGGGCTTAGGCCACTTTTTTAAGGCCAATCTTTTTTGCTTAGTGGCACAACAAAGGCATGCTTCACTCTTGCGCCAGTTGCTATTTCATACCCTATAATTGTAACTAAACAAAGATATTGATTAATACATCGAAATTAATTTTTTTTATAACATGTTACAACAAAAAATTAAAAATCATGCTGCTACCAAGGGGTTGTGTTTGAGTTCCCTGAGTTCTAAAGTTTTTGTCTCGAAAATGACGAGTCATTTGCCGTCTAAGGTTGCTTTGTTGGTCAGTTTTCAAAATTGTCGGCCAATTAAAGGCACATTTACCCACTTCCTTGGCAAATTGGACCTTAGATTCTCCCTCTGGCTCTGGAATTTCGGCCTGCTCGGCATGGAGGATATTTTTTACAGACCGGTAAACGGTAATTTTCATATTCGTGATATTAGATATCTGGTTTTCTTTGATTATCATAACCTCTAGGGTAAAAGGCTCGTTATAGAGCTTTTGCAGAATAGCACATATATTTATTTGCATTTTGATGATAAATCTCTCTTTATTAGTCCTTCAATTTAAGAACGCTGATAATAAACATTTTAACACTGCTTTGCGGACTTAGAATTTACGTCAGAGCAGACTAGAAAAAATAACAAAAAACGCCACCATTCACCGTAAAATAACAGAAAAGGACAACAAACCAACATCTTAATGTGCTGATAGTTTGCTCTAGCATACAGGGTTACTTTAGCGATATCACAAAAAAGGTCGTGTTTTCCAGCGTTTCACAATGCAGTGCCAATATTGAAAGAAATTACCCTTCAATATTCATTTACCGGGTGTTGTTTATCAAAACCCAACACCTGGTAGATAAATAAATCTTGAATTCATTTCTCAGCGTGGCAAGTAGCGAGTGTTGCAGTTGTTGTTGGTGTTGGTTTCATGCTTCTCCAAATATCCAGTTACTGCAGTAAGTCCTGACTTTCAAATGCATTTACCGTCTCTCCCTTATTATCAGATGATCATCTTTATTGTTAAATAACTTTAATTAAAAAGCTTGTTCGTTGGGGTGAACAGATTAGACAAAGGTAAATAAAAATTTTAATTTCCAGGCAATCATGTTATATGCTATTTGCATTGTTTATTGCCACTGTTGAAAGACATTAATGGCGATCGATAAGCTAAATAGAAACAAATGTTTTTGGGTTGTCATCGATACTTTGTTAGCATGTAAAGGATCGAAACGAGAGGAACAAATTTCCTATAAATTAACTAGCTAGCAGGAGCTTTTTTGGAGTATCTGTCTGAAATTACTGTCTACCGGTCTATCATGAAGTGCTAGATGTCGTATAGGCCAGAGTTGTACACGTCCTCATATGATCATCAGCTGCCCGACTGACATTTTATTGTGTCTTGCGCCCCCTCTACTCCCAAATTTTACTGAAAATTATCGTTATACAAAAATATTGGCTTGCATCATCAGCGTACATGTTTACTTTTGATTCTAATGTTCTAAGGCTAATGACAGAGCGTTATTATACCGTAAATCCTCGAATTAACCCCTCCCCCTCGAAAAAGCCCTCCCCTCGAATAAGCCGCCACTCTAAAACTACAAACTGTCAATAGCCCCCCCCACTCGAATAAGCTCCCGCAGCTACCGTATATTCTCGAATTGGACCCCTCAAATGGAGGTTTTTGCCATCTGAGGTTGCCTATGGCGTTTTATTGAATTACCACGAAAAAATCTTACTTTTGGTAGTAATTAATAAAATGCTCATAAAGAAATTCCTACTAAAATAAACAAGGTATTTTAATAATGTCTTCTTATTGTCTACAATAATTTTATAAGCCCCCCCCTCGTATAGGCCCCCCTCTCGAATAAGCCCCTGTCCAAAAATATCCAAAAATAAACAAGCCCCCAGGGGGTCCAGGGGGGCTAATTCGCGGATTTACGGTAATCGAAAGTCCAAGAAAAAGGCCTTTGATGAACAAAAAGGAAAGATTTGCTTATGTTTATTGATGCATGTTAAAACTGAGTAAGAATGTTTGTTGGAATCCCGATTGCTAACCAAAGAAAAGTTTTTGTTCACCGAATTGTCTTAATAAAACCAGTACAAATGAATTTTTCCGAACGAGAGAATATAAGATAGATAGAACTTTTGGAATGCAAAATTACTTTAAACTGTTGAATGAGGAAATATGGTTTTCGAGCAGACATTCACACCATTACCCCAATTTACGCAAAAAGCTACAGCCAAATATACACAAGGCAGGAAGACAAAGACTTGATCAAATTGACATGATAGCATCAACTTACTTATCTAAGGAAAGAAAGTATTAAGCTTATGGATATTCAGGTACATTGATATTAATCAGGTAGTTGGTGTGATTATTAACAATGTTATTTAGTTCGTCCAGCAGGGTTTTCTAATTGTGCGCATAAGAGAGGCAATGCAGGAAAAAATGGACGATTCATTCGTCTACTGTAATGCACCTGCGCAACTTCTCTTAAACTGAGGCAAAGGGGCAAAGTCTTGTTACGATTGTGTGGTCGTGACTGGATGCATGTGTTATATAATGTAGGTAGTGACCCCCTGATTGATAACCCACAGAAACGAAGAAGAATACATTTATCCATATATTGGGAACAAAGCAAAATTATATCTACGTTATATTGATGACATATTTATTATTTAGCCTCACCAACTACAGACTTTCTTCTTTATATTTTGTGAATAATTATATATATTTACAGATTGTCTACATTATTTAAAAATATATATACATATAGTGTTTTTACTATAAATATATACACTATCAATCTGCAAGATCAAGATATATATAAATATATATATACTATCAAAAGCTCTAACTCCAAGTGTAATAAAGATAATATAGATCATCTTCAAGAAAAACGCTCTCATGTAAACGTTTCGACTGAAGTAGAAGTAATATTCCTGATGAAGATCTATTTATATATATTCATATATATATTGTACAGTTGAAAAGACTTGTACACTAGTAAAAATGCAATTTTGCCGACTTGTTTCGACTTTCTGTCGTATTCATGGCAATCAACT